AGTCTGGGGCAACCCCAGGAGCACACATCTCAAGTAAACCAAGCAGCAATTCTCAATTCTTGGTTCCTTGATTCTCACCAGCAGAAACAGGCCCAAACTGGCCAGAGCTTTCACGTTTTTGAGAGCCAAAGCTTTTCAATTTTTATCTGATGTCTCCCAGTTTTAAAATATAGAGAATTGATTTGATTATACACACATGCACACACACACACACAAAGTAATTAAAACATATCTATGAGCTAAATTTGACCATAAGCAAAAAATATATACCTATGACTCAAGTATGCTGGAAAAAAATTGTTTTATATAACTGAAATGGAATTTTCCATGATAGTAGAAGGAAAAACAACATTTACATGTGGTATTAAATATCTGTTTCTGGAACACAGCTGAAAATATTTCTTGTCTGGCCCTTGAAAAAAAATATTTCCAATCTCTAGTATGGGATCCTAACCACATCATTTATGTATTTATCTCATTTATTCTCTTTCCTCCTTCGAGAGAATATATGCTCTCTGAGGGCAGGGGTTTTAATCTGCTCTCTTCATGAACTGCAATCTAGAACCCTCATCTCTCAAGCTGGGATGATTGCCTGGCACGGAGCAGGTGCCTGTTACTATCTGCCAAATAAACCCTAGCAAGAGATGAATCAGTTTACCAGTGCTGCTCAAGGCTGTGCACGGTGGCTCAAGCCTGTAATCCTGGCACTTTGGGAGACTGAGGTGGGTGTATTGCTTAAGCTCATGAGTTTGAGACCACCTTGAGCAAGAGTGAGACCCCATCTCTAAAAAAAAAACCCAGGTGTTGTGGCAGGTGCCTATAGTCCCTGCTATTTTGGAGGCTGTGGCAAGAGAATCACTTGACCCCAAGAGTTTGAGGTTGCTGTGAGCTATGATGCCATGACACTCTACCCAGGGTGACAAAGTGAGACTCTGTCTCAAAAAAAAACCCTGCTGCTCATCCATCGTATTCACTGTTCACTGTGTTTCTTCCTTTCTGCTTTTCCCCCTTCAGCACATATGAGGATGATAAGTTTAAGAAGTTGGGGGCTGGAGTCATTCTTCGTCCCTTCACTCCCGTCCACAGCTGCATCATTTCCCCCATGCTGCCCCAGGCTCACGTGTAAGTAGTCTCACCTCTGGCTCATTTGCTCTGCTAGCTTATAAATTGAAGCCAAGCTGAAATGACTCAATAGGCTAACATGTTGGGAGCCAGTGAGCTGTTCCTTTGTCCTCTTGAAAGGGACATCAAGCCTGGAGCTGGCAAGGCTATTCAGTGTATAAAAATAACAGAAAGTAGACACAGTGGTTTAGAGCTAAGTGGCAAATCAGCTGGGACTGAGTCATTCCATTTCTTACCAAGCCAGACACTCTAATGTCAAATAGTTTGCAAAGCCTGATAAAATCTGTCTACAGCCCTCATCGAGCGTGTACAAGAACGTCTCAGCCAGCGCTCAGGGGACACGTTTTCCCCAGAACTCAAGGAGCTATTTCCCAGAGAAGCCCCTGTAGTCTTCCGACCTAAGGCAAGAACTCGTCATTGCACAGTGTAACTGGGGCTAATCAACCCCCCAAAGAACACTCTTGCTTTCTGAAACCTTGACATTCTGTTCCCCTTGTGTCTATTTCAAAGAATCTCAAGCCCGACTTTTTCTTTTTCACTATAGTTAGCACTTTTCAGTTGGAAGATTTCAGGCACAGAGATAGAAGCTTTTGAGTCTAGGGCAGGGTTTTCCTACCTTGACACTAATTGACATGTTGGAATAAATACTCAATTCTTTGTTGTGAAGGGCTGTCTTGTATATCGCAGGATGTTTAGTAGCATCCATGGCCTCTACCCACTAGATGCCAGTAACTCCTCTCCCTCCAGCTATGACCACCAAAAATGTCCCTTGGGGGCAAAACTGCACACCACACTCTACATTGAGAACCACTGCTTTGGGCAATTGAATTCATTTCAGGTAATGATTCTAGTCTTCTCTTCTCGTTTATTGAATGTTTGTTAGGCTCCTGCACTGTTCACAGTGATAGTGACCACTCTGTAGGCATTACCTCATTCAGTCCTGTAGGCCTCTCTAGGGTGTAGGTGTATTATCCAGGTGAGAAAGCAGAAGCTCAAAGAGGTCTACTCATCTGCTTAAGGTCACAGAGTTCAGTATGTTGCTGCACTAGGTGTTAAGCCAGGTCTGCTTGACCTCATAGCTTGAGCTTTCATTACTACATACTACATACAAAGTGTATCCTAGAGACTTGATTTCAGAGAGTTCATAATATATTTGGAGAGTCAAGTCTCCTATACTTAAAGACTAAAGAAATGCAAGAGTGAAATCAAAAGACAAGATGGCGGACAAAAGAAGATCATTAATAAGAGCACATAGTTCCTGGATGGAAGATGCAACAACAGCACCATCTTCATCACCACCACCATCATGGCCATCATCATCATCTTGTATTGGACATTCCTGATCCCTCCCTAATACTTC